ATAATTATTGAATGTAAAGGGGTACAAAAATATTAATATAAATAATAATTAATTAATATGCATGAATGAACGTTGAATATTAATGGATTAATAAAGTGTATTATTGAATTTTATGAATGTGAAAAGATATGTTGTATCTTTATCAAATTAAAAGAGGAATGTGAAAGATCTTAAATTAAAAGAGGAATGTGAAAGATTTGTATTGAATACATTAATTGAATGCATGTGAATAATTTCTATTATAGCAATCTCTTAATATTCATGGAAATCAATAACACACAAGCGAATCATTAGTAATTTATCAAATTAAAAGAGGAATGTGAAAGATTTGTATTGAATACATTAATTGAATGCATGTGAATAATTTCTATTATAGCAATCTCTTAATATTCATGGAAATCAATAGCACACAAGCGAATCATTAGTAATTTATCAAATTAAAAGAGGAATGTGAAATATCTCAAATTAAAAGAGGAATGCGAAAGATTTGTATTGAATACATTAGTTGAATGCATGTGAATGATCCCTATTATAGCAAGCCCAATAAATAGCTAACACGTGGACCAATTAATGACATCCTAAATAGCGATCATATATCAATCCTACGTAGCGTCAGAAGAAGCAATATGCTTCAGCATTATATAAATATATAGATTATCATTCTATTTAGTTATAAAATCTAACAATACACTAACAACTCACTAACAGTATATAGATTTTTGTTATTTTTGAAATCCCATAGGAACTCTTTATTTGATTAAATCTCGCGGGCCTAGACAAAACCCCATAATGAAAATAATAATAATAAGAAAGGTAAAAAAAAATTAATAACAATAATCCCGTATAATAAATAACAAAAATTCCTTTGTAGTTAGAGAAATAATAGAAATATTCGTCTTCTTAATTTTTGGTGTTAAAATAAATGGCAAAGTGGTAATTGAATAAATATTCAGTCACTTGTCACATTATAAACTCTAACATAATACCAAAAGCTAACCAAGGTAGGATGAATTTTATATTTGAAATATTAGGGGGACTTTTGTCATTTGATCAAATCTTATGCAGTCGAGAACAAAACCCCTAAGGGTGTGTGTGGTTCAGTTACTGAAAATATTATATTAATGAAAATATAGATTACATTGAAGGTTATTAAGAATGTTTAGGGAAATGTATTTGGTTGGTTGGAATAAATTGGTGAGTATATTATATTAATATATTTGGTTGGGAGGAATAAATTTGTGGGTATGTTATTTAAATTACTAAATTGCTCTTTTATTAAATATTATTATTTAGATTATTAATATAACCCCCTACCTTTAAAAACTTAGTAAAAACAACCACATAATAAAAGTTTGAAAAATGAACAAAAGCACCCCTACCAACCCAGTCACCGCTGGCTGCCGGCAACCGACAACCCAAAGACACACAGTCGATTGGAAATGGTCTCCGTGCACCGATATGGTCATTTTCGGCAAGATCTATGGTCGAAAATGGCCAGATGGTAAAAGATCTGGCCGGGAAATGGCCAAATCTAATCTGCTGGGAAAACGGCCAGATCGTTGATCTGGCAGTTGACGCACAAAGGTCATTTACGACCGGTGGTGCACTGTTACGGTGGTGGCAGTTGGCCTCCGACGGTGGTGACTGGCGGCGATAGGTGGTGGGGGTGATGGCTTAGGTGAGCTGCAATTTGTTTTGAATTCAAGGGTAATTTTGTCCAAAAAGTTAATTAATTGGGGTAAAAATGTAATAACCAGTTTTATGTAAATTAATTTAAAAACAAGGGCATTATTGTCCTAAAATTGTATTAATAAGGGTTCGTTTGGATCGCGAGAATATAAGATAACAGGGGTAATCTTCGTTTATTTTGCAAGATTCCGATGTTTGATTTACAAATAATAAAATATTATGGTAATCTTTTATTGCAAACAATGTATACTGTTGGTAATGTGGGGGATAATCTTATTACCTTGCTAGGGGGTGTTATTAAAACATTACGGAGGTAATATGATTTTTCTACCCATTTTGCCCTTAATTAAAAACCATTTCGAACACAATTGCCTCAAATGTCTATCAAATAACAATTACCCCAGCAGCCCAACATTTGAGAAATTAACTAAAACACCATAACCACAAAAAAGTTTAACAGTTAACAAAATACACCCAACCACCCAAGACCATCGTGGCAGTGACTCACGACCGCCAGTTGTTGCCGTCAGTTGCCGTAATAGTGCACGACTGATGGGATCTGGTCGGTCATACACTGGTAAGGTCTTTTCCGGCCATGGATCACAAATTCATGGCTGAAAACAGCCAAATCTGGCATTTCTATGGCCATTTCATCGTGAAATGGCCATAGATCTAACTATTTTCCAGCCATGGATTTGTGATCTATGGCCATTTTCAGCTTTGTCAGCACATGACCAACCATATACATCTAATTGTGTGCCATTCCATCGACTGCTGGCAGTGGCTTGGGATGGGTGGGTGATTTTGTTACAAATTAAAGTTTTATATGGCTAGGGTGTTTTAACAAAATTTCAAATATAAAGGGTTAAAAGAAATAATTCAAAAATTAATAATAAAAAATGCTATTATATTAAATTTAAAAAGGAGGGCAATTTAGTAATCTATATAACATACCCACCAATTTATCCTCCCAATCGTTTATATTATTCACCAATTTATCCTAACCAATCAAATACATTTTTTAAACATTCATAGTAATCTTCAAGGTGATTTTTCTTTATGTTAGTATAATATTTTCCTATAATAAAACATTATATCATCCAAACGCCCTCTAAAGGGTAAAATTGTAACAAATATAAGATCACCAAGTAATCTTAAAATACCTAAGAAAATAGAGGTAATCAGATTACCTCCTATATTACCAACAATAACTACTATGAGTGCGTTTGGTTCAAAGAATGTTGTATTACTGGGAATATTATATTAATGGAAAAATAAATTACCTTGAAAATTATTAAGAATGTTTAGGGAAATATATTTGATTAGGTTAGAATAAATTGGTGAGTATGTTATATTGATATATTTGGTTGGAAGGTAAATGGTGGGTATGTTATATATATTACTAAATTACCCTCCTTTTAAAATATTAATAAAATATTAGTTTTATTATTATTTTTTGAATAATTTTTTAAACCCCTACATTTGAAATTTTGCTAAAACACTCCAACCATATAAAACTTTAATTTATAACAAAATCACCCCCACCCACCCTAAGCCACTGCCGGTAGACAACTACCACCGTCGGTGCATCCGTTAGTCTCCGAAATGGTGCACAACTAACCAGATCTGACCATGAAAAGGCTAGATCTTTGGTCGTGATCTAGCTATTTTCGGCTAGATCGAAGGCCAAAAACAACCAGATCGACGTATGGACGGTCAAATCCCCCTTGTCATGCGTCGATATGGCGACTGCGGCCGCCGATGGTCTTGGGTGGTTGGGGATATTTTGTTAACTTTTAAACTTTTTTGTGGCTGGGGCATTTTAGCTAAATTCTCACATGTAAGGGGTCTAAGTATTGTTATTTGGTAGACATTTGATGGCAGTTGTGTCTGAAATGATATTTAATTAAGGGCAAAATAGGTATAAAATAATATTACCTCACTAATCTTTTAATAACATCTCCTGTCAAAGTAATCTGATTACCCCTATATTATCAGCAGTAAACTATTTATAACAAAAAATTAGTGTAATATTTTATTACTTGCAAACCAAACAAGGGAATCTTGAAAATTAAACTAAGAGTGCCAAAGTAATATTATTTTACCCCATTCCTAATGCAGCCTATTAGTATTAGGGGTGTTCAAAAGAACCGGTTGGAACCGGAACCAACGAGTGCCTGGGGTTTGGTTCCGGTTCCTACTCAGAACCGATCGTCAATGGGTAGGTTCCGATTTCAAATTTTTGGAATTGTTACTGTGCGGTTTCGGGACTAATATAAAATAAAATTAAAGATTAGGGGGGTTAATAAGAACTTTTGTAGAAAAAGTAATATGAATACATTTATATTTATATTTCATAATATTTAAAGTAAGTTGGTTTGGCTTTTGAGAATCTACCTTTACAAAGTAATGGAGTTTGTAATTTTGAATTTTGAATTTTGAATTTGTAATTTTATTTTTGTTAGCAAGTGCCAGGTGAGGGGGTATTAGTAAGTTTTTAAGGGTTTTTTGTCATTTTAAAAACTTTTGGGGGGTCATATAATTTTACTAGGTACCCAGAATCGGAACTGAAACCATTGTTACAGGTTTTGGTTCTATGTGCCTAGGAACCGGAACCGTCGATTCCGATTCTGGTTCCAAATTTCAAGGAACTATTGGTTCCGGTTCTAGTTCCAGTTTTGGTTCCTTCAAAAAATGCAGGGTACCCGGAACCGAACACCCCTAATTAGTATTGGAAGATTACTAGAATCTTATATTACCTGACTATCAAACGTGGTAATCAAGTAATATATGATGACATTACTTCAATAATCCCATACAACCCCCAATCAAACACAGCCTATAAATAAAATTAAAATACTTGTGATGATGTGCAAGGGAAAGGGTTGGTCAGGCGGTTAGGCATAGGAAGGATGAGGGCAATTAGGTCATTTGCTCTTGTCATGTTAAAACTAACCGTAAATTAGTAATGGCAGGGGGTGTAGAGAGCTTATTGATAACTCAGGGGTTTAGCTAATATCGGAAAGAGTAACACTACACTTACTAACACTTCTCACTAACTTTCTCTCACTAATATCACATGTCAGTTCACAATTCGTCAATTCACAATTTGTCAATTCACAATTTGTCAATTCACATAGGTCCTACTTGTTCAATAATGGGTCTCATCTAATCAAACTAATTATAAATTCTTATATGGGGTTAGTAAGAGGGATTAGTGAGGTTAGTATTATTGTATCGAAAACCTCATAGGTTTATCCCTAATAAATAAGCTATTTTTTATTTTAATTTTTTTGTCCTCTCTTCTCATCTTTGTTTCACCGTATTTTACGTTTCCCTTCCCACTCTTCTCTCCCTTTTCCCCTTCTCTTTTCTTCTTTTCTAAAACTGCGTCTAAATTCTAAAAATAACGAAACCTTGATCTAATCTAAAACTAGAGCATTCATTCTCTTTAAGTCGCCACCGCTGGAGCTAAACAAAAGCAAGTCGGCGAAGAAGTCAGGCGACGTGGCTGCCACATGAAGGTATTGTGGTTCATTTTTTTTGCTTTTTAAGTTTTGTAAGCTTCAAATTGACGACTGTTGGTTTCTGATGACGAAGTGCTCTTTAATGCCATATGATGTTGACTTGATATCATGATTGAATTGATTTCGTTAGTGGCTGTTGATGTATTTGAGAATAGTTACAATTAGGAGTTCTGCTTATGATGCTTCCAGCCTAGGGTTTCTGATTTTGTTAAATTCAACTGTGGCTTTGAACACTTGATTGAACTCTTTGATTTTGTTAAAGAAATAATACTTTTTGAACTTCAAAACCATCTATTATCTAAAATGAAAATGTTTGTGCACACTGACACCCATGCTGATGCTCCTAGTCACATGTTTGATCATTTCTCTGACGCTGGTTTTTGATGTTGATACGCTTGATCTTGAAGTGCTTAATGGTATTTAAGTTTTATAGCTTATTGCTTTATGCAATTTTCCTTCTTTGTATGTCGTTGGTGATTGATTATACATCTTTATTTGCAACAGGTCCTGCTTTGTTAGTTGATGTTCCAAGGGATAAGAACATAACTGGTATGTGTTTTGATTTTTTTTTCTTTAATTCTAAATACTGTATTATTTTTTGCTTTCCTTCTTGTATGCTCTTCAAACAATTTAGAGTCCCAATTATTGATTAATGTTGGATGCATTTCTTCATATCAAAAAAGAAAGAGAATTTGCAAAACAGGGCTTCTATTAAATTTGTTTCAAATAAACACAATCAATTTGTTAATTGGTTGGGGACTTGAAAATTCAGACCGCTGTTATTTGATTTAGAAGCAGTTTTGTGCTTGATTGAGAAAGTGTGGGCAGTGGTAATAAAAGAATCTTGAGGTCTGTTTAGATTTGATTGAGTATACAGGTTTTAGAATTAGTTGTGTGAAATGCTGTGAAATTTTATTTTGGCAATTTTGATTATGTATGAACTTGATGTCTGTTAATTTTTTCTCATGCAGACAAATAATTGTTTGCTTTCTTTTGGCAAAAATTTGCACTAGGGAGACTGCTTTGTTGCTGTAGGCTTCAGAGTTAATGCTTTGCATCATGGACACATTATTTCTGTTGCTTTGTTTTCGTAGGCAATATAAAGTTACCCATGTTTTACGCTGTTAGTAGTTACCAAGTTTCCATGTATTGAGTTTGCCTAGAATGTGTTGTTGGTTGTTTTAAAAACACTGACAATATGACTTAATTATGGTTAAAATATGTTTTTCTGTATGCTTCAAATGGATTGTTTGTTAGCTTTATCAGAATATAATTGTTGGTTGTATTGAGTATACCAAATTGTAGGTGTGACTGGTTGATGGTTGTAAAATAACACAAGGACTTCTTGAGAAAATAAGACTAAGGTATTAACATTCATCTTTATGACATTACCTTTATAATAAGACTTAAACAATTTGGGATTGATATAATTCTTTACAACGTTACCTTTAGAATAATACATTAATTTTTTTTTTTATTAAATATAATTCTTTATAATGTTACATGTAATAAAACATTTAGGTGCTAAATTGACACCTAAACAATAAAACATATTTAACAATACAAGTCAAATTATTGTTAAAATTCTTTATAATATTATATTATTATTATATAAATTTAACAAAGTGCCCTCATTTTGACCATTGGTAACCATGGAGATCAACAAATTTTAAAGTTTTTTAATAAATAGATTTAAAAGCTTTTTAAATAAATTAATTTCCAGTCTTATTTAATAATAAAGAAATAAGGTTATTTTTGATACTTGAGTTTATGTGGTTGTTAAATTTTTTCAGATTTTTGATATAAGTTATGAAATTTAACTTTTTCTACTCAAACATATGTACCAGAAAATAAGTGTTGATGTGAAAAAACAAAGAAAAAAATTTACAATATATTTATATTTAAGATAAAAGTGGCAAAAACAAACACACCTTATCACTAAATGCTTGTTTTGTCTCTTTGTGGAATTCTGTTATTTAAGTAGTTTTACTTTAAAAGCAATATTTACAGGTTTTACTTAAGTTAACTTTCTTCCAGCTTTAGAAAAAAATCCAGTCGGGTAGCTTAAATGTTAAAGTTCTACAATTTATCAAAAGTTTTGCATATTGATTGTTGTTGGGTTCAATCTCAGCTAATTGTTGGAAATCATGAAGAAGTATGGCTTGCAACTCAGGGTTCAGCCTTCACAACAGAAGAAACAGCCCACAAAACCTCCTTTGCCACCGCCTCTTGGTTTTAGTCAAGATGATGATGATGATGATGATGTTGAGAGAGAAATTTCTCGCCATGCTAGCAAGAACAAGTCTCTTAGAGAGGTAACGATTCTAAAATTTTGGTGGTATATTTATTCACCTATCTTTTTATCTGTTAAATGTATTTTTTTTTTTTTTGGGTAATTTTAAGATTGAGGAGCAGCAAAAGAAAGCGTTGGAAGAAGATCCATCAGTCTTTGATTATGATGGTGTTTATGATGAAATGAAGGAGAAGAGCTTTCGTCACAAAGTGCAGGATCGTCAAGACACGAAGGTAGTTTCATGTTAATGGCATGATTTTAAATTGCAAATATGGCTTTTTCTTTTGAATTATTTGTGGATTTCCCCAAATTCAACTACTTTGCAAATATATAGTTGTGTTTGTTTTTATTTGTATGAGTGGAAAATGAGTTAATTTTAGAGGTTTGCTAATGGCATAATGTAGGTAATAACTAATTGTAACTAATTAGCTAATTCACTTTTTGTTTGTTGCAGCCAAAATATATTCAGAAATTGATTCAGAAAGCAGAGGAGAGAAAAAGGGAACATGATATAATTTATGAAAGAAAACTTACTAAAGAGAGGAGCAAAGAAGACCATCTTTATGAAGACAAGGATAAATTTGTTACTAGTGCTTATAGAAAGAAACTTGAAGAACAGAAGAAATGGGAGGCAGAACAACGTTTGCGTGATCTTCGAGATGAGAAAGACGCTGTATGTCTATCTTTCCTTGTCTTTTGTGATGTTTTCTTCTGTAATATATTGTTTTCTTAGTCTTGTATGACTCAATCTGTTTATTGTTATTCATCAAATTTTGTATGATTTAGGTATAGGGCATTCTTCTGATGCTCTATGCTTCACTGGTTTAAAGTTAGGTTTGTTCTTTGCAATGGACACATACATGCTCTTTGGGATAATCTAATGCTTGAATGATGAAGGGTGCTGGGATTTCATCATGCTAATTTGTTTCAGATTAGGCCATCTTAGCTATATCTCTAGCTTTGGGGAATCTTAGGAATGTTCTTTACTAGACATATTTTTGAGGAGAACCCACATTGAAGAAGTTAAAGTAGTATTGGTCATTATATTTTTATGGCTATGTGAATGCCATGTCATATATATTGCCAAGTTAAAGAAAAGGGATGGAACATAGGGTAAGGTTATGGGAAAACTCTGGCGTAGATTAATAAGTATTGGTTTCTTCTGTCTTTTTATCCAAGTCACACAGTTTCCCATCTTTATACAAATAATTAGTTGGTATTTGTGATTTTAACTATGCACAAGAAATGGTTACTTGGTATAGTAATATTTGTGCTCATCTTGGTAGAAATTTCCTAAACCAAGCATTCATGGAGTCTAATTTGAGATTGTACAAGTTCAAAAATAAGGGGGGTTTTTAATTAGACATGTTAACCAAAATCATATTAAATTGGAATGGTCAAGACAGGTTTTCTGTTTGCTTCTAGTTTTCGTTGTTTTAATGAACTATTACATGTGTGAAAGTAGTCTAAAATCTGATGGAATGAAAGTGAAACTGAATGCTGTTGATATAAAATATTAAAATAAAATTAAAAAGGGCTGAAGTTGCCAAAAGACGGGAAGAACAAAGGGCAGTTAAGGTAACAAACAGGTCACCTTCCATTTCTTGTCCCCTCCCCTTCTACATTTTTTCTTCATTCTTGGTACCTTTCCTTTTTCCCTTAAGTTGTTATGTGGTTGCTTGTGCTTTGGTGATGATGGAAGAAGGGTAGTGTTTGGGTTTGACCGTGGTTTCTAGTGTTTGGCCGCTGGAGTTGGATTGCTGGTGTGGTGGTGTCCCTAGGTTTGGCCGTGAGTTGGCCGGAGGTGTCTTTCTCGTGGGTTATCATCCTTTCTCCTTCTCATTTCATTTGTTTGAATCTCCTCCCCACTCCACTCCTTAATCCTTATCTGCCACGTGTCATAATCCTATTTTCCACAATGCAATCTAATCTTTTAGCCAACTCACCTTCTCAATCTATTATTGTCACATCACCTCCCCAAGTTTGCTTACCTGTCACATCACCTTGCTACATGCCTTCTTGCCATGTCACCCCTATTGCCACATCACCTTGTCACGTCATCATGCCACATCACTGCCTCCAACACCCAAATTCAAACCGATTCCAATTCTTTCCCTCCCCTTGTCTCTTACCCTAAAGTGCCTAAGGAATGTATTAATAATGGTCTTTCTAAGGATGAAGGAGAGAAAAAGAAGAATTTTGTCAAGGTTAAGCTTGTCAAGAATCCTAATAGAGCTATTTTGTGTGTGATAACACATTGAGTGAAGAGGGGGAAGTTGTTTGGGTGGCTAGAGATGTCATTATTGAGGAGGCTGGCCTTGATTTTATTTGAATAGGAACTCTCCTTTGTATGATGGTATGGGAATAAAAGAAAGAATGGGCAATGGGGATTTTTTGCCTTTGATGGGAAATGGCTCCAAGGTGAATGTGGGAAAAGGGGATCCTGTGTATTCTAAGGAGGAGGTTATCAAGAAATCACTTGGAGGGGGTTCTCAAATTGCATGAAACAAACTCTTTGTTTCTAAACGGTCCGATTCGAAGTTGGAGTTTTTTGAGTCGGAGTATGTGGGTGAGAGGAGGAAGGTGAGAGTTTCCCCTTCTAAAGAAGTTGCGGAATTGGGGTTTGACAAATGGAAGAATTGCTTAACTGGTTTTTTTCTTGGGAAGAAATTACCATTTTTTATGGTCAAGAACTATGTGACTAGGATGTGGGGAAAATATGGGAATGTGGGAGTCATTTCACATGGGGTAGGAGGTTATATCTTTCGATTTGATGATGATGTGAGTAGAGACCAAGTGTTGGAGGGAAGACCTTGGCATGTGGCTGGCCAACCTTAGTTTATAAAGAAATGGAGCCCAAATCTTAATTTAGCTAAAGAGGGAGTGAAGAAAGTGCTGGTGTGGGTTAAGATTTTTGATATTCCTCTTGAGTTTTGGACTCCTAAAGGTTTGAGTTACATTGCTAGTGCCATAGGGAAGCCTTTTTACTTGGATAACATCACAGATGCGGGTGATACACTTGAGTTTGCAAGAGTATGTGTGGAGATTAATTCTTCATTGGACTTTCTGAAGGTTTTTGAACTAGTGCTTGCTAATAGAGATGTGGTGGATTTACATGTGGAGTATGTTTAGAAGCCTTTGACATGTTCGTGGTGCAAAATTTTTGGCCATCAATCCAAGAATTGCTCGGATGCCCCAAGGGCTAGTAACCCTTTACAAAACACCAAAAAGCCGCCCCAAAACTTAGAGTGGAAAGTGATTAATAGGAAAAATGAGTGGTTTCCAAGAGATGGATTGGAGGGAAAAGAGAATGTGATGGGTTCTAATCTTGTCGAGAAGAACCAATTTGATATGCTTAATGATAGTTTGGCCTTGGGTTTTTAAGGCAGGGAAACTTGTAGTGGCCCTTATGAGGTTGATGTGGGGATTGGTGGGTCATTCGAGGATATAAATGAAAGAGCCAATATGGAAGATGGAGGGATTCAATGGGGGATGGTGAGTGAGGACGTAGGGGTAGGGGAGATTGGGAAGGCCGGGAAGGCCTTTGTTGATTTACAGGTTTCGAATGAAAAATGTGGTGGTTTGGAGGTTGGTGAGGTTGAACATTTGAAGGAGAGTCAGGGGGTGGATTTGATGGATAGCGGGGGGAATACTCCTTAGTTAGATGAAGTGGAGATGAGATCCGTCTCACCGGACTTGGTTAATTTTGGGATGCTTAAAAGGGTTGATGAGAAGGAGGCGACGGATAAAGTCCGAAGTATGAGCAAAATCTTTAGGAAGAAATTAGCCAAAAAGGCCAGAGCACTTGTCAAATCTTCCTCCCCTCAATGATAAATTTTGGAGTTTGGAATATTAGGGGTCTAGATTCCCCTATAAAACATAAAGAGGTATATAATTTTATCATTTCTAATAATATTTATTTGTTTGGTGTTCCGGAGATTAGAGTTAAAAAAAGTAATCGTGAGGTTGTGGTTAAGAAAGTGTTTGGTGATTGGAGGGTTGTTGACAACTATTGTAGTTCGGATGGTGACCGAATATGGGTTGGATGGGATCCAAATATGGCGGATATTTCTGTAATTGGGGTCTCTTGTCAAGCTATTCATTGTGTAGTCCAAAGGGTGGGGGAAGATTCTAAGTTTGTGTGCTCCATGGTGTATGGGTTACATACTTTTGTAGAAAGGAGGAGTCTTCGGGAGGAGTTAGTCCTTTGGGGGTGAAGATTTTGCCAATGCCCGTGGATTGTACTAGGTGACTTTAATGCCATTAGGAAGCCTAGTGAGAAGAGTGGTGGAGATAACAGATGGAGGTTGGAGTGCTTGGATATGGATATGATGTGCTTAGATGCTAGATGACTTGAGGAATATGGGGTGTTTCTTTACATGGAGTTATCGGAGTGAGAAAAGCAGAAGAATTGTGTGCAAGCTTGATAGAGTTCTTGTCAATGATCAATGGACCTTTTCTTTTCCTAATTCGGGAGCTTTTTTCCACCCCCCAAGTGTGTCCAACCATAGTTCGACAACAGTTGATTGTGGTTTTCCGAGAGAGATTAGGAGATCCCTTTTTAAGTTCTTCAACTTTTGGGCCCATAACTCTAGGTTCTTGAAAATTGTAGAGTCAGTTTGGAGAGAAAATGTGGATGACAACCCCATGCACCGGCTAGTGACTAAACGTAGGAAGCTTAAAGGAGAACTTAGGATGCTTAATCGTAAGGAATATTGGTGTATCTCAGAAAGAGTTAAAGAGGCTAGGGAATTGCTCTTTGAAGTTGTCTATCCTTAGTAACCTTATTAAGGAAGAGAATGGTAAAGCATTTAGATTCAAAAAGTTGAGTTTGTCGGAAGAGAGCCTTGCTAAACAAAAGGCGAGGGTTAATTGGCTTAGGGAAGGAGACCAAAACACAATTTTTTTCTTCAAAGCCATCAATGGGAAAAAAAATAGAAATAAGATTTCCTTTTTGGTTCTTGAGAATGGTGATGTGACTAGAGACAATGTTAGAATCAATGAGGAGTTTGTGACATTCAACCAAAATCTTTTTCGGGAAAAGGAGCCTAAGAGAAATTTTGAAGGCCTTGACGAGCTTATAACTCCTTGCATAAGGGATGAAGGGAAGATATTCATGGAAGCTGAGGTGACTAGGGAAGAGATTAAAAGAACTATTTTTGAGCTTGGTAATGATAAAGCACGAGGCCTTGATGGATATGGTGCCTATTTTTTTAAACGAGGTTGGAGCATAGTGGAAGGGGATGTTATAGAGGCTATTTAAGGTTTCTTTAGATCCGGGGCGATCCTAAAGAAAATTAATTGTACAATTATAACCCTTGTGCCGAAATGTGAGAACCCATCCACTTGTCATGACTTTAGACCAATCTCTTGTTGCAACATGATTCATAAATGCATCTTAAAGATCATTGCAAATAGAATCAAGGATGTCCTCTTGGGTTTTATTGATCGAGCCCAAGCTGCTTTTGTTAAAGATAGGAAGATTGGAGATAACATTCTTCTTTGCCAAGAGTTGGTACGCAACTATGGGAGAAAATTGACAAAGAGTAAGAAATGTGCCATGAACATTGATTTGATGAAATCTTACGACTTGGTGAATTGTGACTTCATCATCAAAATCCTTAAAAGGTATGGTTTCTCTCATAAAATTGTTCATTGGATTGAGATTTGCATTAAAACGCCTATGTTTTCTATTGCCATTAATGAGGAGTTGGGAGGTCTTTTTGGTAGCTCTAGAGGGTTGAGGCAAGGAGACCTAATCTCACTGTATCTTTTTGTGATGGTCATGGAAGTTCTCTCTCGGATCCTTGAGAAAGTGATTAGGGACCCTAGGTTCAAATTCCACCCGAGGTGTAGTGTGGAAAACATTACACATTTTTGCTTTGCAGATGATCTCATGATTTTTTGTAATAGGGACACGATTTCTATTGGGTTAATTAAGCAAGCTTTGGGAACTTTCAAGGATTGGAGGCTAACACTAGTAAGAGCAACTTGTTTTGTTTTGGAGTCTCAAAGGAGGAGAAAGAGAATTTTTTGCGGGTTATCAATTTTAGAGAAGGAAATCTCCCAGTCGGGTATTTGGGCGTCTCTCTTATTACAAGTAAGTTGAGGTATGCTGATTGCAAAGTTCTTATTGACAAAATCCTTGCAAGGGTTAATTCTTGGAGAAATAAGTTTTTGTCTTACGTGGGACGAGTTATTCTCATCAAAGCTATCTTTTGGAGCATCCAAGTTTTTTGGTCCTCAATGTTCATCCTTCCCTCGAGAGTGCACAAGGAGATTGAGGCTTCCCTTAGGGCATTCTTATGGTTCGGATCCGATCTGAAGAAAACTAAAGTAAAGATTGCTTGGGAAGATGTTTGTGTTCCAAAGGAGGAGGGGGTCTAGGCATTATGAGAACTAAGGAATGGAACAAGGCGGCCATGATGAGGCATATTTGAAACATTGCCCAAATTAATCATTCCTTGGGATGAGTCTCTTGGATCAAAACTTATCTTCTTAAGAACAAAAGTATTTGAGAAATTCCCATTCCCCGTGATTGTTCTTGGGCTTGGAGGAGCATCCTTAAGCTTAGAGGAGATGCTAGGTTGAGAATCAAATGTGAGGTCGGTGATGGGAGACATATTTAGCTTTGACATGATAATTGGCACAATCTTGGCTCGTTTGCCCTCAAATATCATCCTCAGATTATTTACGAATCTGGATTATCAAATGATGCTCGAGTTAGTGAGATTTGCAATCGAGGTGAGTGGAAATGGCCGGTGGCAAACTCTTGTGCTTTGTTGCAAATGAAAAGGTTGGTTAATTTCAATCCCACTATGACGGAGGATGTAATTGTTTGGATCCCGTCTATGACCAAGGGTTTCTTTATTAGTTCAACATGGAACGAAATAAGGTTGAGGAAAACTAAGGTTGATTGGTCCCATCTTGTGTGGTTCCCAAATTTTTTTCCAGGACATACTATGATTCTTTGGATGACTATCAAAGGGAAATTCAACACAAAGGATAAGCTTGAGAAGTATGACATTTTGCAAAGCTCATGTTGTTTTTGTAATTTGGCCCAAGAAACCTTGGATCATCTCTTTTTCTCTTGCCCTTTCTCCAAGTCTATATGGAGCCGGATCCTTGCCATTAGCTCTATGGGCTATAGGGCGGTGCCATGGAATGCTTATATTCATGGCTTATCATTAAATTGGAAGAGAAACAAGCTCAAGTATTTTTTTGGCAAAGTTGTGTCTTAATGCCACTATTTATTGGATTTGGAGGGAGAGAAACAACACGGTATATGGAGGGGAGTGTAAAGATGCACTAACCATCCACAACATAATTAGGTTAGTGGTGAGGGATAACGCCATGGAACTTAGGAAGATGAAGAGGACCACGGGAAATAGAAGGCTTACACAAATTTGGGGGTTACCAATGTCTATTTTTGATGGGTGATCACTCTGGGTTTTGTGGTCTTGGTGGTGGTGAGGTCTTAGGACAAACTTGTTATTAAGGCTTTTTGTAGTGAGGCTTTTTGTCGAGCACTTGGAGGGCTATGAAAGTAAGAGTGTTTTCTTTGGCTCTTAAGAATTGGATTGGCCAAGGCAAACCCTGGGGGAGCTTCCCATGCTTTGGGGAGGAGTGGAAGTTGGTGGAAGGTGGGTGTTGGCTTTCTTTGGTTTTGTTCCTAACCCAGGGCATGTCTCGAGGTAGGAAGAGTTTTTTTTGTGTTTTTCATAGTCTTGTATAGGGTATTTTTTTGGTTCCTCATCCAGGGGATTGTCTTGAGGTAGGCTGACCGCCTTTTATAGGAAAATACTTAAAACAGATTTTGTATCTTATATCATTTGTTTGTCTAAGAAATCTATCGTCTGCATTTATTCAACTTATATTTATTGAGAAATGTTTCTAAAGTTATTCATGTTCATTGTGTTTTTTATAGGTTACCAAGAAGAGTGATTTGAGTGATTTTTACTTCAACCTTGGAAAGAATGTTGCCTTTGGTGCGGAAGATGCCAAGTCAAGGAAAGTTAACAGGCAGGCTGAAGTAAGGAATTTGGAGCCTGAGAAAGATCATTCCCCAACCCATTCCAACTCTAAACAACAAGATATTCGAGCTGCTGAGCCTTCCAGGATAAAAGAAGGGCATCAGGCTGAAACTTCAGTTCCTCCAAAAAGCTTGGAGTCTTTGGCTTCAAAGCCAGTCTCTGATGTGCCAATTTCAGTCCAAGATGATTCTTCTAATGAACAACCATCAGCTGATGAACCAAAGCGCGACCATCACAAAAGGAGTGAGGATGCATTGGCTGCTGCTAAAGAACGTTTTTTAGCGCGGAAGAGGATGAAGGAACAATAGTTGCTTGTTCTTTCTTTTATGTATCTGGTCATATGTTTTTTTTTAATCATGCGAACTACCTTGTTACCACAAAAAATAGGCAAGAAAGGAGGATAGGTTGAGAATATTTTTTTCACAAAGTCTGAAGCCGTTAATCATATAATGGTAATGAGTTTTTTGTTAACTATTCGGGCAACTGTATCCATTATAATGGTAGATTTTCTATAGAAAACACCCAAATATACTTTTGAAGGAGAATTTATGAATTAATTGCTCTAAAATTACTTATAACATTTTGTAAAAAAGAAAAAAGAAAAAATTCAATCAAATGTTTGTCTAAAAAACTACTCTAATAGTTTTTATACCTTTCACTTATAGATCTTCTTATTCATGTCTCTGAAAATGAAGATTTGAACCTTTTTCCTCTTACTCTTTGTAAGCGACAGAAATCATAAAGATTCATTTACTGATTCATCTATGGACTTGAATCTCTCGTTCAATCATACGGAAAGACTATTTGTTATATGTACTTTATTTAAAAAATATTAAATTTATTTGTTATATATTCTCTAAAATTATCTTCTATTACATTTGAAGAAACTTTTAAAATAGATTAAAATACGAGGTAAGAATTTAAACATCCTCATTGTCCTTTTTTTTTTTTTTTTTTTTTTTTTTTTTTTTTTTTTAGTACACCTCTCCAATTTCACCTTTCCAATTTCTAAATTATGAATACGAGGTTTAGGAGGATAAAGTTGGTGGGTATTATTAAATGAATAAGTCTATCCTTACAAAGAACTCTACAAAAAAACTTACAAAGTGAAGAAAAAAACAAAGGAAAAACGGAAAAAGAGAAAGAGAGAGAGAGAGAAATGATGAAGATGAAGGGTGGAGGTTAACTTTGTATGCCTCATTTGTAGGCTTCTTTGTAAGACTAGCATTGCTGTTATTAAATTATTGTTTCAATTAAATTATTATTTTATTTTTTGTTACTATTTATTATATTTTGTTCGTAACTATTTCTAGAGGTGTTCGGTTTCAGGTACTCTACATTTTTTGAAAAAACTGGAACCGGAACCGACAGTTCCTTGAAATTTGGAACTGAAATTGGAACCGACGGTTCCGGTTCCTAGATACCCAGAACTGGAACCTATAACAACGGTTCCGGTTCTGGGTACCTTGTAAAATTACATGACCCCCCAAATATTTTTAAAATGGCAAAAAAAACCCTTAAAAACTTACAAATACCTCCCCACACAGCACTTGTTAACAAAAATAAAATTACAAATTATAAATTCAAAATTACAAACTCCATTACTTTGTAAATTTAGATTCTCAAAAGTCAAACCAACTTTTTTTAAATGTTATGAAATATAAATATAAATGTATTTACGTTACTTTCTCTACAAAAGTTTTTATTAACCCCCTACTCTTTAATTTTATTTTATATTAGTCTCGGTTCTCGGTTCCGGTTCCTAACTATATGAATCGGAACCGGAACCGCATAGAAACGGTTTCAAAAATTTGGAACCGAAACCTACCCGTTGACGGTCGGTTCCAGGTAGAAACCGGAACCAAATCCCGGGTACTCGTCGTTTCTGGTTCTAATCGGTTCTTTTGAACACCTCTAACTATTTCTGTTAGACAAACTTGGCTTTAAACATTTGGTCAATAAGTTTCCTTCTTCAAACGTAAGAAGAAATAAATTTAAAATGACATGTAATTAAGATATTCAAATATCTTATTTAAAGTTTCCACCTTAAGCCTAAAATAGGAGGATAAACTTAAAAGAGAAAAAAAAAAAAATTGATGAAAGAACTTCAAAACTTCTTGCCCTCATTTTAACACCATAACGAAACAAATATTTTAATTAAGATAAATAATTGGTCTTCGATATTGAAAAAAAAAAAAAAAAAAAAAAAACCTTAGAATTTATGAGTCATAAGTGTTTCTCAATTTGTGGTCTAACAAATATTTTTATTAGAAGAAAAACAAGGAGTGGAATTATTTACAAATTCCCTTATTCAATTTAATGTTCTTCATGGATCACTCACATTGTTGCTGCTTAAATCCCAACCGCTCTTTCCTCAAATCATACTCCACATAATAATTCTGCCAAAATACGTTCCCCAATATAATCGTCGGCCCACCACTACCCAACCTGCCACTCACTACCATCAAACACACAGCTGAGCCGTCACCAACCACAGCTGCATAATTCTCCGGCGGCACTGCCATCTCAGCACCACCCTTGAAATGTAACTTCAACTTGGGGAATTTTAGCCTCGTCGTCCCACTTGAAACGTTGAAACAAGGACTCAAACCCGTTAAAACCTCAACACCAAGAGCTCTACTGAAATTCATCTTCTTCACCAATTGACTTTCAAACTCAGCCGCCAATGGCTCCCTCACTTCAGAAGCCATGACTGTAAACGTTGTACCGGAGTCAATAATGGTGCCGCCATTTCCTTCATCATCCAACCTTAAGTACCTGTATGGAATCCTCACTCGCCGCTCGCCGACTGTGATTTTTCTGAGACCAACGTAGTAGTAGACTGAGAAGGCACTCCTTCCTGGGAACACTGGGTTCTTGATAAATGGCGTGTAGATTAAACCACTCGACTTCTTTTCGGAATCCGAGCCACTACTATTATCAAGTATTAGAGGGCTGCTTCTTGTAGTGTCATCGAATTTTCTAGAAAGCAGACAGTATGCAAACTTGTCGACGTTTAGTTGACTTGGAAGCGAAGCTTGGCCACGTCCGAAACCTGCAATGCCGGCAGGTGTCCGGGAAGAGAAAACAGAGCATCCGACGAAGAAGTTGGGAATGGTTCGGTTAGGAAAGTTAAGAGTTTCTGATAGTGAAATGCCACTGGTCGCGCCTGATTCATAAAAGATAATGTAGGGTGGACAAATCTGAGTACAGTTGTTTGAAGGATTGCAGTCTTTGCATTGTGCATTGGGGTGAATCCAAGAACATTTAGGATTGCGGCAGCCGATGATCTTGGAGGAAGAAGATTGTTGAGGGATGAAAAGTGGAGTGTTTGAGGAGGAGAATGAACAGTTCTTGCAGAGGTAGCGAGTAGTGCAGGGGAACCAAATAAGGTCACTGCCTGTGTCCATGAGCAAAGGGATGGTCTGGGGAGGAGTTCCAAACGAAAGGGAGATTGAGTAACCTCCATAGCTATGAGAAAAGAGTGGAGTTGTGGAGATGGTTTGGGGGTTTTTGAGGTGAAAGGCTCTTGTTAAAGAGGAGGAAACTAGAAAGTTGAGGTATTGGTAGGGATCTTGAGATGGGTATGTTTGCAAAGGTGAGAGTGGGATTGTGAGGGAATAGATTAAGGGAAAAATGGAGAAGAGAGAGAGGTAGAAGAAGGAAGAAAGAGAAGCCATGGCAATATGAATATGAAAATAGAGTAGTGTTTTATCTTAATAAGTGGAGGGTGTTGGTTTAGGTTGGCCCTCTGGGTGGTGTTAAATTAGTAGCAGTGAATGCATTTAGTTTTGAATATTACAGGACAACTGCCCCCTCACCACTATTTAGCATGTGAAAAAGTTGTAGTCTGAGAGACATGTCCCATTGTCTGCATTTGTCTTTGAATGATGATGATATTAACAATATTAGATAGATAGTTAATTATACAACTAAAAGAGGAAAAAATCTTTAGTTATAGTGGATGTTGATGTAACTATCCAATTATATAGTGTTAGATATATTCGTCCTTAGATAATTGTACCAATATCTGTTGTGACTAATTAAAACGTAATTAAGGAAAGGTAGGTGAAGATGGTTATGTATTTGTAGGCAACAGCTAGCCAACGCCCACATGATAGAGATGGTCCTAAGTCCCTCTGTGTCGAGTCATCTTCTTGCATAGTTGCTATGTACAAAAGTAGTTCACAAATTAAAAATGCCAACTTTTACTTATAAGTAATAGCATCATGTCATGTCTGCATTATTTATGTTTAAGGAGTTAAGTGTTAAAGTTTAATGTCATAGTTAAACATAAATGAACGGCCAAAATTGAACTTGGGTGGAGAAGACCTCTTTCAGCAACAGCCAACACAGAGACAAACTCCACTGGAATGTCTATAGAAACATTTTCCTTTAATGGGTTGGGTTGGCCCCAATACATTAATAGCTTAAGTTTTTTTAACCGAGAAATCACTACTTTTTATTTATTTATTTTTTTTTTTTAAGAGTGGTCCTATTTGACTATTTGTCTTCTATTTAAGCTCCATCTTTTTAAATAATTTTCATAACTATAAATCTATCTTTATATTAAATTATAAGATTTTTTTTTTATTTTTTATTCTCTATAAATAGTTGTAACCCATCACTATGTGTCATGAACTTTAATTCTTATATGCTTATAAAAATATTATATTATGTAAAATTAAAATAATTTTTAAAACTAAAATATAGTTTAATGGAGGAAAAAGTTTTGCAATGGAGTATAGCACGTTAAAAACAACATAAAATTTTAAGTTTTAATTGTCTTCTCAAAATTTTAAAATTCAACTTATTGTTTATTTAGTTTTTGGTTATATATAAATTTATTATTATTTTTTTCCATCAAATTATTGTGTTTTAGAAATAATGATAGTAAGAGGCTACGTATGGGATGAGTGAAGGTAATTAAATATTTACTTTTTTAGAAGAAAAAAAATGGAATGAAGAGTATTTATTAGTTTTCAAACTTTTGAGTTAAGTGTGTTTCCTTAATTTAAAAAAAATTGTAGGTCAATAGAACCACAATTTCTTAAATTCTTGAGAATGGTTTTCAATAATATTACGCTAACAAACCTCTCTTATAAACTGATGTGATAACGGCACTTGCCAACTCAGTTGTCACACACCGTCATATCAACATGCAGGGAAATTAAAAAAAAATAAAAATCAATCACCACTAAATTCTCACTTTTAGCATAGCTTCAAAACCCGGAATCCATTTCCTCAAAAAATTTTGTTGATACAGAAATCTGCACCAATCAGCGAGATCCGATTGACCTTGTCGGGATTGGAACTGATGTGTGCGTGATTACAGGTAATCAACGATGAGTGGATGATAATGCCAGAAAGTAAATGACAAAGGGAACTTTTAAAGTGGTTCGATGAAGTTAACTGCCTACGTCCATGTGTTTTTGTGTATATGATGTGAGAGCTTACAATGTAGTTTTAATCCAAAATTTGTATCCCCCTCCTCATCGTTTTAGGGAGCTTATATACAAGATTTACATAAAGGAAAGAGCGAAATTAAGGGGATTACAAATGATTTGAATCACAATTCCGATATCCTTGTGATTGAGCGCTGTGATCGCGCAACGATAACTGTTGATCCAATCATTCCCGCGATATCCGGGATTTGAAGTAATCTGGGGATTGATTGATTAATTCCAGGGATTGTCCGCGATTAGCTTGTACTGGGTCGAGCTATGGCTCGACAAGCTTATGCTAGGTTGATCAATCATAGTTGCTCAGATCATTCTAGGCCAAGCTATATCCTCACGTTGGCCTAAGCTTGGTGGAAAACCCACACACAACATCTGCCCCTAGTGTTTAATGCTCGTTTCAGGCTTCGAAGACTATCGCTCAATCTGACGCCAAGCTTGACTTCAATAGTGAGTCTTTGAGTGCATGCTCGATCGGGCTTCCATGATCGACCTTACGTCTGGTCGACGTTCTTCACACTTGAACATTATTACCCGTGCCACTTGTCAAAACTCAGAATATAAAAAGTTAGGGTATAAATGTAATTTTCGTGTGGTCGTGTCGCATTAAATGCGGCAACCTTTGTCAGTTACGTTTCGTCATGAGTGGGTGATAACAGCTGTTCACACGTGAAGTTGAGGTGTCGTGCGGCAACGATTATCATTTCCGATGGTTCATCGCACCTCGTGGATGGTTGAGATGTGGCCACGTCTAAAGGTTGAGATCGCTTAACGAACGAAGGGCTAGGATCTGTTGTAAGTCAATGGTCGAGATTGAATTCTGCCCTTTCATCTTCTATGCAAAAATCACTATAAAAGGTGGCGAATATTCAGAATCGCCACTCTGAAAGTTCTTCCGCCCTCTTGCTTTTCTTTGCCGTTGCTCTTACATCGTCGTGGTGGTCTTTCTTACGAGTTCTCAGCGTTCTTCTTTATTCCGGTAAGATTTCTTTCTCTTCCTTGCTCATTTTTCTGACTTTTGTGCTAAAGGGTGGCTGTTGTAGTGGCCATATTGGATGTTATAAGATTTTAGTAGGGTTTTTGGGGTGCATTTTCAGCGGTCTCGGGTTTTAAAGGGGTTTAATCGCTGTGGCCGCCGGTGTCCTAGGTAGGTCGCGTGACTTTATTATGTTGCGCAAGCTATTTTGGGTGCTTGAGATGGAAGCGAATGTGAAATGGTCGCTGAGTTGTTCAAGCTCTAACACATGTTCGCTTCTTTTTTCAGGTATCCAGAGTTGAGTTACAACCATGTCCTCGTTTAGTAGTCCCACAATAGATTGAATGTTCGATTCACCGGTTGGCTCGACAGCACTAGGGGATGTGTCCCCTAGGATATCCGAAGAGTTTGTCGCCAGAGGCTCGGACCTTGATGTGCGGGCTTGTCCGACCGTGCTTCAATCCAACTAGCTCAATCCCCGCCGTCTCCAACTCACAGGTTACTAAAAGAGCCACAATCCTTGATCACCATCGGGGATCTTGAATGTACCAGGGCAACTTATGCGCCGCAGCTCAACTTGATGGCCCTAGGAGAACACTCTCGGAAGAACCGTCCAGCTGGATGGGTGGCAATTTCTAAGACTCTCCTCAGGTGCGGGGTATCCATTCCCCCGCACTCTTTCATCGATAAAGTGTTGAGGCAATTTGACATCGCTTCTCTCCAACTGATGGCCAACTTTTACTTCATCATTACCGGGGTATACATCGCGTACGATGAGTTTGTCCACTTGTACAGGCTCAAAAAGGGGCAAGGCCAGACATACTACCTTTCCAAGGTAAGGAAAGTACGTTTCAACGGGCTAGTCGATGTCCCGAAGAAGGTCCCACATTGGGATTCCCAATTCTTCTTCTACGAAGCCGGGATGCGATGTCTTCGCTCCGGAAGCGAGGAAGGCTTTGGTCGCTCTCGTACGCAAGTTTCGAGCTTTGCTTTATTATCTAACCAAATTACTTTCTATTATAGATAACGTCGAGCAGAACTATCTCACAACCGTGAGCTTGCAAAGGCTGCAATGTTTCAGCGATCTTCCGGACAATTTGCACAACGTCCACAAGCTTCTTACACTTCCTCACCTAAAGGCGTATGACTTTTTTAGGGATGAGGCCAGATTTTTAGCGCTTTAGGAAAAAGGTAAGTTGTTGCTTGCTCACGTTTGATTTCCTGCGCAAATTGATCGCTAACTCATTTCCCTTTTTCTTTGCAAAAATATGGGTTGAAAAACCCAGAAGCCTTAAGAAGAAAATGATGGTGTTGGTGGCTACCCAGAAGGCACTGGCTACTCCGATGACAAAACAGCCCGCGGATGCTGCCAACATGAAGAGCCCTAGAGCCGAGCTTGCGGAGGGTCAAAGCGCGAAGAAATTCGCGACCGTCTCTAAGACGGTTGGTTAGAAGAGCACCATCGGGCCCCCTAAGGGGCCAGCAAAGAAGACGTCTTAGCCAACTGTAGGCTCGAAAAAAGTTAAAGCACCCGAGCAACACGATGGCTCGGGGAAGAAAAAGGTGACTGAGCCTCATGGGGTCTTGGACAAAGAGGTCGCCACGCATGTTGGTAGCCTTAAGAAAAGCGCGGCCAAGAAAAAGCTCGCCCTTGCGAGTACGATAGCTATTCCAGGGGGGAGTAGATCTGGCTCGTCCAAGCCAAAGGATGGGGAGACAGGCGAAGCGACCAAGGCTGAAGTCAACGCTCTGATTGACAAACTCTTCGACCATATCGATGTTGGGGCAGCGGTGGCTAGGGATTGCGTCACCCTGTGAACGTTCGCGGCCGTCAAGGACTCAGCTCCCTCCTAGTTATTGGCCTTAACCTGCAGCTACACGGCTAAGGTACTAGTAGCTCGCTTCCCTCTTTTTGAATGCTATTTTTGTTTCTTGCTCGCTTCTCACCTTTGAGTTTTCAGGTTGCCATGGCGAGCCGACTCTTGTACGAAGAATGCGGCCATACCTTGGAGGGAACTCATAAGGGATGGATGTTGGCGGAGACGGTTAAGGAGGATGCTTTGGCTAGGGCCACGGTTGCAGAGAAGGAAAGGAGAGGGAGGCTAGGCAAGCCGAGCTTGAGCACCTTAAGGAGGAAGTTATGGCCTTTGGGGTCAAGGAAAGGGAGTTCCTTGACAAACTCAAGGCGAGCAAGGTTGCTCGGACTAAGGCTAAAGCAAAGGCAGCGGAGGCCGGCCAGAGTTTGGCTCAATAGCGAGGAGCCAACAACAAGC